ACTCCTTATTTTAGGAATTGGGAAGTCACTGAAGGATTTTAAGTACAAAAGAGACCTAAATGAGACTTGCATTTTATGGGGCCCAAATGGAGGTGGGTTGGAGGGGGACACTGCTAGAATCAGCAAGAGCAGTGAGGAGGCTGGGTCAGAATCCACTGGAGGAATGATGAAGCCTGAACCAGGGAAGCCTCGGTGAGGCTGGTACAGGACTGGAGGGGAGACATGAGCATCACTGAGGACATAACTTATTAGATGTTGGGGAGGAGGGAGTGAGACGAGTTCAGGAAGATCGCCAGGTTTCTGGCTTGGACAATGGGGTGAGTGATGCTGCTGCAAAATGAAATAGGCATTGAGGAGGTGGGGCAGCTTTGGGGGGTGATGGTAAGTTTGTCTGGGGCACACCGAATGTGCAGGACGAGGAGTCCAGCTGAGAGTTGGATATCTGAGCCCGGAGCTCAGGAAGTCACTCCAGGCTGGCTTCAGGTATCGATTTGGGCCATGGTATAGTGGGAAATCTTTAATACATGGCTTTCCAAGCAGGGAAGCACCTTGATTTGTAGAGTTTGCCCATACCCGTGGTGTAAATTCTCCTGCTGTGGTTGATTTCAAGCTGTCACTGTGATGTCTCTGAGCATTTCCACCATTCAGGTAAAAAATAACCTTGAAAGCATAGATAATAGTAAAATAACTAGGAATTTATGTTTTGAGTGTTTATTATCTTTGTTTTGAACATATTTATATAATCAGAAATTTATATAACTTAATTTTTAATAATGGCCTTAACACCTGGCTCACAAAATTCCTGAAACTTTGTTCTCAGGAGCTGGTCCAAGCCAGCCCAGTACACCATTGGATTTGTAGTCATTTGCATAGAGGTGGTGGCTGGAGGATGCAATTGCCCAGGGGAACAGGTAGAGTGAAAAGAATGGAGGGGCCAGAACAGAATCCTGATTTACTGCAAACTTCCTGAGTTCCAGAGCCCAGGGAAAGCCTGAGAAGGAGCAGCACAGAGAGGAGGAGAAACTGGAGAGAGAGGGAAGCCAAAGCAATGAGTAGTAAAGAATCCTCTGATGGTCAGCAAGCAGTCTGTGTGGGAGTTTAACAGCAGCAATAGGAGGTGCTGGGAGTCCATGAGGGAAGAGGTACCTAGGGAAAGCCTCCAGAAGAAAGTGACATTCAAGCTGGGTTTTGAAAGATGAGAAAGACCTTACAAGTGGTGGTGAGCTTTCCCAGCAGATGATCCAGCAGGTGGAAAAGTCCAGAGTGTAGAGGGAACAGAAAACAGGTTGAAATCTGAATCAGGTGGGAAGTTCATTTGGCTGCTAATCAGAAGTTTAGGCAAAGCAGGTGTTTATCCTTTCACTTAAAGAAGTCGTGCTACTGCAGTAGGCAGTCCATAGTTGGTGTGATAACTTCACAGTCCCCAGGGACCCAGAATCCTACCTTCCTGTTCTACCATTCTTAGTACCTGGATTCCACCTTCAAGGCCCCTTCAACGCCCAGGGTGGCTGCTTCAGTTGCAGCCATCATGTCTATGTAGAAAGCAGGAGGAAGGGAAGTAGGGTAAAAAGAGTACCTGCCAGTTTTCTGTCTCTTTCTGAAGGAGTTTTCCCAGAAGCCAACAACTTCTGCCTACTTCTCATTGGCTACACCTAGCTGCAGGGAGGCTGGAAAACTCTGGTCATCTTGCTGGGCTTATGACTTCCTAGAATCAAAGTATGAGAAGGGGAGAATGGTTACTGGTGAGCCACTAGCAGCTCTGTCTCCCCTCCCAAAGTTTTGCCCCCAACTTATTATTTTTAAAAACTTCAAGCATAGAGAAAAGTTGCAAACATAATACAATGAACAAAACCTTCAGAAAAGTTGCAATATTAGCACAGTGAATACCCAAATATCCTCACCTACATTTGCTACATCTTTGTTTCTCTCTCTGCATATGTGCTGTCTCCAGAAGAAGGTGGCATGGTTACTGGGCCACTACTTTCTAGCACAATGGATTCTTTACCCCATGTCACATGGCCAGCCCCCCTTTAGGGCATAGGATGGCAGAGCACAGGCCCCTGGGTCTCTTTCTGGCCAGGCCCTAAACCTGTGAGTTCTCGGGGCCCTCTCTTTGTTTCTGTTCTCTCTCCCCACTGGAAAATGGGCCGCTCCACTCCTCTCTTTTGTCTCCCCTTCTTAAGAGTGTACCAAGGAGCACAGCTATTGAAGCTTCTGGAGAGGAAAGGCTGGGAGAGTGTGAAGAAGGGTTTGGGAGAAAATCCCAGCTGGAGCAGCAGGTGCTCTCTTAAGAGAATCCTAGGGATCCTAGCTTTGCCTGGGTTCTGCAAAAATCCAGAAGTGTCTTTATAACTCTGAGTGTGGTGCCTGACAGTGTGATTGAACATTTACCAACATTATTGCTGTCCGGGCCTCAGGATGGGGAGGAAGACAGGCAGGCGGGATTGGGGTGCTAAGAACAGAGTGGGGGTGGGTGGGTGATATTGAGTGAACACCTGTGTGCCAGGCACTACATCATTAAGCCCTAAAATCAATCCCTTAAAGCAGGCACTTTCATTCCCACTTTACTGATGAAAGAACTGACACCCAGAGAGGGAAAGTCATGTAACTGGTCATTGGCCTCTATTCTTTTCAGTCGGTTTTTCCTGAGTGCCTACTGTGTTCCAGGTACTGTTCTAGGTACTGGAGATTCAGCAGAAAACAAGATGCATGAAGTCCTTGCTCTTCTAGAACTTACTATTCTAGAAGGAGGCAGCAGACAATTAACAAATGAACTAGTGACCAAAGAAAATGCCTTAGATTGTGTCCCTTTCGTCAAAATCAGTGACATTCACCTCGCTAAATCTAATGGTCAATTCTCCCACGTGACTCTGATTTCTGGGTACTTGCTCGGAGCCAGGCCCTGCTCCAGGAACTGGAGAACAGAGTCGTGAGTAAAAGAGGCCCTGGGGACCTTATATTCTAGTACCAGAAAGCAGATGTAAAATAAATAAGTAAAATATAGGGTGTGTCAGGAGGTGATAAGTGCTTGGAGGGAAAGCGAAGAAGAGAAAGAGCATGGGGGTGCTGGGGTGAGGCTGAGGGTTTGACCAGTTAGATGCAGTGGGCAGGGAAGGCCTGGCTTGAGGTAGGAATTGAGGGAGTGGCCAGAGTAAAGTCCTAAGGCAGGCGTGGGCCTGGCACGTTTGAAGACCTGCAAGGTGGCCAGCGTGGTGGAGTGAGTGAGGGGTGGAGAGTAGCGGGGAGGGAAGGCTGAGAGCTGGTGGGACCTTACAGACCCTTGTAGTGTGAGCTCAGGAGTGACGTGATCTAACTTTCCTTTTTAAAGATTGCTGTGTAGCGAGTAGATTGTTCTTGGGCCAGGGTGGAAGCTGGGACCGGTTTGGATGCCATCACAATAGTACAGGGAAGATGACAGTCCACTTGGGCTAGGGTGGTGGCAATGGAGATGGAGAGAAGCGGCTGGATCCTGGATATTTTGAAGGTAGAGCTGAAGATGGGTTACAAGAGAGGAGTCAGGACCAGTCCAGAATTTTTGGCTGAGCAGGTGGAAGGATGGAGAAGATTGTGGGAGGAGCAGGTCTGGGGACAGGGGAAAGTCAGGAATTCAGCTTTGGATACAATAAGCCTGAGCCAGATGCACATTAGATACCCAGGTGGAGCTGTGAGCAGGCAGCTGGATGTGCTCTTTGGGATTTCAGATTGGGGCCACAGGTGCACCATACTTGTCACATTCAATGCCCGAGACTGGGTGAGACCGTGAAAGAGCAAGTGTTGACAGATCAACACTCTGTCAACACTTAGTCCTGGGGCCTTCCAGAGCAAAGAGGAGGAACAATCAACTTTGTTCACATCTTTACCCCCCCATCACCTAAAACAGTGCCTGGCACAAAGTAACTGCTAGGTCAGTATTTTTTGAATGAATGAATGAATGAATGAATGAGTGGTGCTAAGTGCTAAGAAGGAAATAAAATGGATGCTGAGTTAAAGAGTATATGGGGGGGCTTCCCTGGTGGCACAGTGGTTGAGAGTCCGCCTGCCAATGCAGGGGACGCGGGTTCGTGCCCCGGTCCGGGAAGATCCCACATGCCGCAGAGCCGCTGGGCCCGTGAGCCATGGCTGCTGAGCCTGCGCGTCTGGAGCCTGTGCTCCGCAGCGGGAGAGGCCACGGCAGTGAGAGGCCCGCGCGTAGAAAAAAAAAAAAAAAAAAAAAAAAAAAAAGAGTATATGGGGGACTTCCCTGGTGGTGCAGTGGTTAAGAATCCACCTGCCAGTGCAGTGGACATGGGTTCGATCCCTGGTCCAGAAGATCCCACATGCCATGGAGCAACTAAGCCCATGCGCCACAACTACTAAGCCTGCGCTCTACAGCCCGCGAGTCACAACTACTGAAGCCCGCGTGCCCTAAAGCCCGTGCGCAACTACTGAGCCCATGTGCCGCAACTACTGAAGCTCGCGCGCCTAGAACCCATGCTCCGCAACAAGAGAAGCCACCACAATGAGAAGCCTGTGTGCCACAACAAAGAGTTGCCCCTGCTCGCCACAACTAGAGAAAGCTTGCACGCAGCAATGAAGACTCAATGCAGCCAAAAAAAAAAACAACAACAAAGTACATGGGGGAGAGTGGTCTACTTTAGATAGAGTGGTCAGGGAAGATCTCTTTGAGAAGGTGGAATGAGTCAAGCCCTGAAGGACAGGGAGAAGTCAGTCATATAAAGAGTTGGGGAGAGATGTCAAGTGCAAAGTCCCTGAGGCAGGAATGAGACTGGCCTCTTGGAGGATCAGCCCTGTAAGCCTGGATCGTGCAGGAACTTGCAGTCCCAGAACCTAGACTTTGGATCACATCCTGGGTACCCTGGAGAGGTTCAAAGAGAGGAGTTAAGTGATCAGACTGATTGTTTAAATAATCCCTCTGAGCCACGTGGAGGATGTTTTGTAGGGAAGCAGGAGTGGAAGCAAGGAGAGTGTTAGGAGAGAAAAGGCAGTGGCCCAGGCCAGAGATGGCGATGTTTGCTGAGGTGAGGGAGGGAGAGTAATGGGCAGATTCGAGATATTTTAGGAACAGAATGGCAGGATTGGGATTCAAGAGCCCCTGCTTGTTCAACCCCACTGTGAAAATGTCCTCCACAGACAGACTTGGGAGGGCCTGGGGTAGGGACCAGAACCCCATAGGGCTGGGGGGGTTTCCTCCTGGGGTCTCTTCATAGTCACCCAACCCCAGACTCCAGGGGCTGCCCCACGCTGGAAGACGTGGAAGATGGTGAGAAGGGCTGCTGTGGCTGCTAGGATCATCCCATGCCAGGTTCTGGGCCAGGACTCTAAGGCAGCTAAAACCATGTCCGGCACTTGGAGAGGATCTTTTCCCCCTTTTTCTCCATCAGACCTGGATTCGTGATCTCTCCCCAAGCCTGGCCCTCCTCCAATGCTTCTCCTGTCCAAAATTCTTCAACATTCCTCCCATTGAGAGGTGGGATTATGTCCCTGTTGTTGAATGTGGGCCCTGGGACTCAAAAAGAGTACACTGGACATAAAGCTGTGCCAGGTTTCAGGCTGAGGCCTTAAGAAACTGGCAGCTTCTGCCTCTCATCTCTTGGGACGTTGGTTATGAGAACCCAGCCACAATGCTGTGAGGAAGCCAAGTGGTCACATGGAGAGGCTACATAGAACTGTCCCAGCGGACACCCCAGTTGAGGTTCCATCTGTCAGCCAGCAAAGACCGCCCCACTGTGAGTGAGCAGATAGCCCCAGCCCCAGCCTGTAAGCCACTCCAATCGGTAGGGCTTTGGAGCAGAGATGGGCCATCCCTATCGAGTGCTACCCAAATTGCAGCTCTGTGAGCAAAATAAATGATTATTATAGTTTTAGGCCACTCTGTTTGGGGTGGTTTGTTATGCAGCAACAGGTAGCTGGGACTTCATGCCCACCTCTCCAGAGCCTATCCACAACCAAGCACTGCTGAGTCTTCCTTCTGAATACATGTTCTCTTCATCTTCCCTGCCACCCCATCTGTGACCTGGACAGCTACGTCAGCATCCAAGTAGATCTCCTCCCACTCGCTCTTAATTGCACAGGGTCTGTTTCCTACACAGCAGCCAGAGAACTTGCTAGAAAGCCCATCTGATTACCTCCCCAGCCCCTCTGTACCCACTTGAAGCACCCAATGGCTCTCCACTCTCCTAAGATCAAGACTCACCATCCTTGCCCCCTTTAGGCATCAGCGACAGTGGTGGTCTTTCTTCTCTTCCTCCGGTACCTCACGGGCCCCTTGCCCCAGAGCCTCTGCACGTGCTGCTTCCACTCCCCGAGATGCCCTCCTCCACCTACCTAGTTAACGCTTGCTCAAATGTCACCTCTTCTGTGAACTGCCTCTGAGTCGGTGGTTCTTGAAACGGGGTCTCTGACCAGCATCATCAGGGAACTTGTTAGAAATGCCAATTCTCAGGCCCAAGCCCTGTTCTAAGGCATCAGAAATTGGGAGACAGGGCCCAGTGGTCCGTGTTTAACAAGCCCTGCAGGTGATTCTGATCCATGCTCTTGAGAAGTGCTGCTCTAAAACCCTCAGCGCAGGTCATGGATTTTGTCTTCTCCCATCTGTGAATTCCTCTCCTTCAGAGGTCTGCATTTATGATGACACAGGTCTTTGTGAGATTACCTGATGCCTGGCTCCCCTGATAGACCAGAGCACAGGGGACACTCATCTTCTGCTCCTCACTGCCTCCTAGGCCTAGGCCTGGCGCACCCTGGAGCTTAGGGATGTGGGTTGAACAGATATTAACTGTTGGCCTCCAGGTGGTCATGGGCTTCTCTGGCTGTGGGGGAGGGGAAGGGACCGGTCCCTTACAGAGCTGGGACCCTCAAAGTGGACAAGGGGAGGGTGAGAAACCTTAAGAAGTTTGGGGAGCGTTCAGCCCCTGCAGAAAAGGCTGCTGTTCAGAAGGCAGGGAAAGGGTCTCCCCAGCCAGAGCTTTCCCTCCCTCCCTCACCTCCCCAGTCCCTCCTCCACCCTGGGGTAGCCCTCAGCTGACTGCTATTGACCACTGAGCCAGGCCTTGTTTTGTGGGCTTCACGTGTTTTATATCATTTAATACCTAAGCTTCTGCGTTGTGTATCATTAACATTCCCATTTTATAGAGAGGGAAACTGAGACTCAGTGAGGTTCAGGTACTTGGCTGAGGCCAGGGCAGGGAGGACTTGAACCCAGGCTGTATGACAGGTGCATTGGCCCTCGCCATCCATGCCCAGGTGGAGAACACTCAGATGGCCCAGGAGGTAGGAAGCAGGAGTGCAGTGGGCCGGCAGGCCTGTGTGGAACCTCATTTGCTCTTCCCTAAGGCAGCGTCAGCTGTAGCAGATTGGGAGAAGGAGGCCCCAGTGTTGCCAGACCTCTCTAAAATTTCAAGAGCAACCAAAAATGTGGATTTTTAACATCCTCCTTGTTTCTAAATAATCACATTAGAAAGAAAACCCTTAGGTGCTTCCAGAGACCAGATAAATGCCTGTGTCAGATGACATTGATGGTGAAATTGAGGGGGTGAATGACAGCAGAGCCAAAAAGGAGACACCACAATGTGTGTATAAGGTCTCGGACCTGGCCCCGCCCTGCCCCCCTCCCCCATGTCAGAGTCGCAGCTTCTGCCATGTCTGGGACGGTCCGCTTTAAATTCAGCGTCCACCCTTGGCGGGATGCGGTTTCACTAAGGGCAGACCCCTAATACTGACCCTTACCATCGTGTCTCAGCCCCCAAATGGCCAGCACCATGTGGGCGGAGGCTAGGTCTGCCTGGTCACAGCTGTGTTCCCAGCCCCCGGGCTGCATGCAGGTGCTCACTAAATGCTTGCTGATGGAAGTAATAGTGTAAGCCCTTCCCCCTCTGAACACCCCACTCCCCCACCCCTACGCTGGCTCCTCCCAGTCCCCTGTCCTGGATGAGCGGGGCGGGGCGATGGTGGGTTAAAGGCCGGCAGCTGGGGACCCCCTTGGATGCTGGGTGCCCGTGGAGTCCAGGCTGTAGCATGGCTACGGCGCACTCTGTAAGTCCACCCGCCCGCCCCCTTGGGCAGCGAAGGCTGGGGCTCACCGCCCACCTTGACTTCTTTTTTTGGTCAGGCCAAAGAGGCTGAGGGTGGAATCCAAAAGTGGAAGAAAGAGAAGGAGGAGAAAGAGAAAGAGGAAGAGGAGGCAGCAGCGGGGGTGTGGGTGGGTGAGGAGGCTCTGAGGAAGGCCCGGGCCGAGGGCCCCGTGGAGAGCAAGCTGGAGTTGCACCCACTGCTGAACAGGTAGGCCCTACTCTTGGCATTGGAATCACTTCCTCATCTGGGAATGGCCAGAGCTGGCCTTAGACTTGGGCTCTGGTGGCCCTTCCAGCCTTAACCCAGCTGAGATTCTGGGTTAAAGGCCCTCACTCATCCCCTGGCCCTTCAGGATAACTGGCTCCAGTCACCTTGGGCGGCCTGTGCCCCAAATCCTATCTCCCTGTTTGCCCTTGGAGGGACAGGGCTTCCCTGCCAACCTAGCTGCTGCTGGGGGCGGGCGGGTGGGTGCACTCTGCTTCCTCCTGGCCCCCCCTCCTCCAGGTGGGCTCTGTGGTTCTTCAAGAATGACCGCAGCAGGGCCTGGCAGGACAACCTGCATCTGGTCATCAAGTTTGACACCGTGGAGGACTTCTGGGCGTGAGTGTCTGTCCCTCATGGAGGAGGCTGGGGCCATGGGGTTCTGAGCTGGGGATCCTTCGCAGACCCCACCCCTCCAGGGAGCTGCTTTCTACACAGCTTTCCCAGTCTTCCCTGGGGCCTTGCAGCATCTGCTGAGGACTGGGGCTTGGTGGGTTCTGCAAGGAGCCGGCGGGGGGATTGGGCTGGGGCACATCCCCCCGCTGAAGCCTCCTTGGGACCCAGGGAGAGAACCTGGGAAGTGGGAGAAACAAGGAGTTGACCCTGACTCTGCTGCTCCATGCTTTGTGACCCTGGGCAAGTTCCTGCCCCTCTCTGAGCTTGTCTCAGCCACAAAGTGAGTTTTAAGGCTGTCTCAGTGTCTGTGGTGATCCAGTGAGGAGATCTGAAAGGTGCTTCACAAACCCTAGAGGTGGGTGAGAAGGTGGGATTTGAAGGTCTGGGCAAGTGGGGATGGAATTCCTGGTAGGGGGCACCGGTATGAGCAAAGGCTTGGAGGCTGGAAGGTGGGTGGAAAGCAGTGGGGTCTGGTAAGAGATTGAGGGGGTCTGAGGCCAGTTGGAACCAGGCTCTAAAAAGCCTGGACTTTCAGCCTGGGATGGGGCCTCTCTCCAGGATGTACAATAACATCCAGCTGGCCAGTAAGCTCTCTTCCGGCTGTGACTACGCCCTGTTCAAGGTAAGCCCTGCTTCCCCACCCCCACCCTGTCCCCAGGGCACAGGGGGGCTGATTCTTCCCAGCTTCCTCCCTCACAGGGGGTTTGGGGGTGGGGTGCCGAGGACAGCCTCCCTCAGAGTCAAGTATAATTTCAGATCAGAGGACCGCTCTGCAGAAGCATGGACAGAGTGTCAGACCTGAGCTGTACCTTGAAGGACAGGGGAGGGGGAAGAAGGGGGAACAAGGAAGGAGTCTAGGTTTCTGGCCTGGCTCCTTAACTAGGGACGTGCATCAGAATTGCCCTAGGACACTCATCAATGTCCAGGCCTGTCCCTGGAGGTGCTGTGCAGTAGGGCCCTGACATCAGCATTTAAAGATTTTCCTTAGGTGACTTGTTTCCAGCAGCTGAGCCTGGAATGTCTGCCTTTGGCCACACTGGGGTTGCCCCAGATGCTTTCTTTTTTTTTTTTTTTTTTTGCGGTACACGGGCCTCTCACCGTTGTGGCCTCTCCCGTTGAGGAGCACAGGCTCCGGACGCGCAGGCTCAGCAGCCATGGCTCACGGGCCCAGCCGCTCCGCAGCATGTGGGATCTTCCCAGACCAGGGCACGAACCCGTGTCCCCTGCATCAGCAGGCGGACTCTCAACCACTGCGCCACCAGGGAAGCCCCTCCCCAGATGCTTTCTTAATGACCTCCATTTGAACTCTCATATCAAGGAACTTGGTTCAGTAAAGGAGATAAACACACACCCACGCAAGGCTATGTGAGGTGACAGGTGTTGAGGCTTAGGGGCCCATGGGAACTCACAGGAGGGTCTGGGGGGCTGAATGGCTGGTAGAACCTGCTTTTTCAGGAGGGATGAAGGCAGAAAGGTCCTGGCCTGTGGAGGCCTACTGAGGGGCTAGAGCAGGACCTGGGGAGGTGGCCAGGCCCTCACTTTCCTCTGAACAAAGGGAGGTGGTTGATCTGCAAGCCTGCCTCCCAGGATGGCATTGAGCCCATGTGGGAAGACAGCAGGAATAGGCGGGGTGGCCGCTGGCTGGTCAGCCTCGCCAAGCAGCAGCGCCACAGTGAGCTGGACCACCTATGGCTGGAGACGGTGAGTGAGGGACTGGGCGGGGAGGCTTCCCAAGGGAAGGGGCTGGGCTGGTGTGTAGCGGTGGTCTCAGGGTGGTGGGGGCAGACTCTGTGCCCACCAGGAAGGCTCATCCTCCTCCTTTTTTTTGGCTCCAGCTGCTGTGTCTGATCGGGGAGAGCTTTGAGGAGCACAGCCGGGAGGTGTGTGGGGCCGTCATCAACATCCGAACCAAGGGGGACAAGATTGCCGTATGGACGAGGGAGACAGAGAACCAGGAGGGCGTGCTGCGCATTGGGTGAGGGGTATCTCTGGCACAGGGTGGGGGCTGGGTCTCTTCTAGGAGAGAAGGGGAAAGTGGTGGAAGGGGCGTGGTTTGGCCTGCAAGGGAGACCTCTGGAACTCTGCATGCTGTCTCTCCCTTCTTTCTTCACCACTTGTGTAAAGGGTGTGGCATCTCAATTTCAAACTGTTTCTTAACAGATCTCTTTTCCTTTGCACTAGGCACATTTTGGGTTTCCACATGGGTAAGACAAATACAACAGGAGTTACTGTGGTTGGAACCAGGGTAGGAGCTCTGAGCAAAGGACCCAGGGCCCCACGTTATCTCCAGGACCTGCTGCTGACTGCCTGTCTCCTTTCCTCTCCCACTTACCTCCCAGGCGTGTCTACAAAGAGCGCCTGGGACTCTCCACAAAGACCATCATTGGGTACCAGGCCCACGCAGACACGGCTGCCAAGAGCAACTCCCTAGCCAAGAACAAATTTGTGGTGTGAGGGGACCCTGGCACCACTGCCCAGTTGGCTGCCCCTGAGTCTCCCACTGCTGTGTGTGTGTGTGTGTGTGTGTGTGTGTGTGTGTGTAAAAGGGGCTGGGCTGGGGGCAGATGGCATGGTTCTCACCTATTCTGGAGTGAATACGAGCACTCTTTAATGTGAATTGGGGCCCGGGACAAGAGGCAGTTCTGGTGGGGGACCCAATGTGAGGGACCAGGGCAACGGAAAGGTGGAGGAAAGCCTGGGCTTGTTTCACCCTGGGGGTTGGGTTGGGTAGAGTGGGGTGAGGTGAGTTATTGGTGGGAGGAGGGCTCAACTGCAGGTGGAAAGATAACAGGAGAGAATCCTAGGATCCAGGACTTACTCCGTGCTCCCCACCTCGGGGAAAGAGGCTAGGTGGCCTGAGGGTCAGACTCTTCCATTTGAGGGAAGGGGGCTCAAGGCTGCTGACCCAGAGCTGGAGCTCAGGGACAGGAGTGGGGGGCTCTCTCGATTGATCACTCTGCTTTAAAAACTTTTATGGATTGCCTCTCATCAGATTTGTAGCCTTGGAGCCTACCCCGTATCCCACACCTCCCCCCAGCCAGCTGTGCGTGGGTCCCTAGAGGGGCGGGAGTGGGGGCGGGGGCAACTGATGAGGCCCTGGCCCAGGAAAGGTGGTCAGGCCTTACTATGGTTCTGCTAGACGATGATCAACTGGAAGGTGATGAAGCTTAAGCCCCTTTCTGTTTCCTAAATAAATACTTTTAAACAAAACCAGAATTATTTTTAAAGAGGACTCTAATAAAATTGAGTAAAATTCAGGCCCCCCAAACCTTGATCTGCTCTAGTCCTGCCTTGAGAGGGCTCATGTGAGACGCCCCAGGTACCAAGGAGCCTGATCAGGGTGGAAGCTGGTAAGGGGGAGAGGGCTTAGACGGTGGGCGGGGGGCTTTAACCGCCAAAGGGGCTTGAGCTAGGGCATGCAGTATATGCCCCTGGCAAAACTGAAGGGGCATGGAGCAGCAGGAGTGGCCCTCACAAGACCCAGGTGTCATCCACTCTGAGTTTGAACCAGTAGAGGTAGAACTGAATTTCTGGGGCTTCCCTGGTGGCGCAGTGGTTAAGAATCTGCCTGCCAATGTAGGGGACATGGGTTCGAGCCCTGGTCTGGGAAGATCCCACATGCACGCAGAGCAGCTAAGCCTGCGAGCTACAACTACTGAGCCTGCACTCTAGAGCTGGTGAGCCACAACTACTGAAGCCCGCTCCGCAACAAGAAAAGCCAGCCCGATGAGAAGCCCACGCACGGCAACTGGAGAAAGCCCGCGCGCTGCAACGAAGACCCAACGCAGCCATAAAAAAATTTAAAAAAAAAGAATTTCCGTCCAGTGAGGAGCGCTTTTTAAAAAAATTTATTTTTATTGGAGTATAGTTGCTTTACAATGTTGTGTTAGTTTCTACTGTACAGCAAAGTGAATCAGCTATACGTATACAAATATCCCTCTTTTTTGTATTTCCTTCCCATTTAGGTCACCACAGAGCACTGAGTAGAGTTCCCTGAGCTATACAGTAGGTTCTCATTAGTTATCTATTTTATACATAGTATCAAGTGTATATATGTCAATCCCAATCTCCCAATTCATCCCAGCACCCAAAAAGCGCTTCTGATTGGACTCCACTGTAATAAAACGTCCTGCACGTGTGCTGAACACCATCCATATAACCATCCTCCTCTCGCTCACCAGCTCAGTAGTTACTCCTCTCTAGGGATGGGAACAGACGGCAAGGCCGGGGATTGGGGTGGCGCTGGTCCTGAGCTTTGCGGTGTGGGGGGAACTAGGGGTCTTTCGTGTCTGCGACTTGCGGCGCCCTCAGCATCTCAGGTTGGTCTGAAGGACGCTGCAGCGGCCACCGCATAGGGAGGAGTCAGGCCTAGAGGCTAGCCTCCGACAGGGCTGGGTCGGGCTGTGCGAAGGGGCCTGTATGGGGGTGGGGTCCGGAGGGGACAGTCGGGAGGGGGCGGAGCCAAGCCCAGAGACTGGGCTCCAAAGGGGAGTAAGGCTGGGGGCGGAGCCTATGGAGGGGGCGGAGTCAGGCCTAGAGGTGGGGCTCTGAGGGGGACCAAGCAGGGGGCGGTCCGGGAGCCTAGGGCGGTCCCTGCGGGGCGGACCCTGGGGGGCGGGCGGGGCCCGACGGGCGCTCTGGGTGGCCGCAGCCATGAAGCCGCAGCCGCCGGGCTAGGCCCCGGGCGGCTCCAGCCCCGGGCGGCCCGCGGAGGGCTGGGCCCAGCCCCCGGCTCCGGTTCCCGGGCCGGCGGGCGGCCGCTCACCATGCCCGGCAAGCACCAGCACTTCCAGGAACCCGAGGTCGGCTGCTGCGGGAAATACTTCCTGTTTGGCTTCAACATCGTCTTCTGGGTGAGAGCGGGGTGGGTTCTGGGCCCTGTGCTGGGGATGGCGGGAGAAGGAGGCTCAGTCCCCTACTAGGGGGAGACACTCTCTGCCACAAGGGCTTGGGACCGTCTCCCCACTCCTTCCTCCCATTCGCACCTCCACGCCCACCCCCAGGACCGCCCAGGGGAACTACGAAGAGGCCCGGATTGCAGGGGACGGGTCCCAGCCACTGCGGTAGTGGGGGGGGGCAGTCTTCCGGGGTCTTCCCGAGGCCCGGCGGAGAAATGGGAGGTGTTTCCGTGAAGACCCCACGGGCACGCTTAGTGCGGGCGCCCCCTCTCCCTCCCAGCCCCTTTGCTACCCGGGGGTGTCGGGGATACGCGGAGCCCCACCCCTGGTTTTACCCGTAGGGAGGAGAGCCTCCTCGAAGGTCGGGATCCCGTCTCCTGCCCCTTTACCTCTCCAGTACCCGGGCCTGCTGCCTCGCCTTAAGCTCCTACAAAGGGGAAGGGTAGGTCAAAGGTCGAAGCCCCACCCCCACCCCAAAGAGGCTTGCGGGCAGGGAGGGCCAATCGCCCTAGTTCTCGGCCGGGGACAGGGGATATTTCCTGATGAGAGGCCAGGAGAGCTGGCCCTGGGGAACAGAATTCAACATCCACAGCTGACCAAACCGAGGCTCCAGGGCAGGGCTGCCCCTGCCTGGAGAAGGGAGCTGCTGGTGCCCCTCCCAGGGTGGCATCTGTAACCCTGGGCCCTGCCAAGTCATCTTTCCCTTCTCCCTCTTCATCCCATATCTCCAAGGCTACTTGCTGCCTCTGCAGTCTCTGCTTCTGACGTCTTGGGTCAGAATGCCAGACCCATTCAGTTTTGTTTATCAGGACTCAGTGGCACTGCCCTCTACCCACATGCTGCTTATGCAATGTGGGTGTCCTTTGGCCCCAGCAGTGCCCAGCCTCGAGGGTGTGAGCCATGTGCAGAGAGCACTAGTCAGGGAAGTCTGAGGCTCTGGGTGAAGCAGGCCTAGCTGTGAGACAGTGGGCAAGTCACTTCTCTCTGGGCCTTAGCTTCCCTGGCAGCGAGTGGGTGATAATGAAGCCTGCCCCTCAGGACTGTTACGCAGATTAAATGAATTATAACTTACTGTATTCTTGCAGCTACTTTATTATCTACATTTTACAGGTGAAGGAACAGGCACAGAGAGGTTAAATCTTTTAACCCAGAGTCACACAGCCAGTAAGTGCAGAGCCAAGGTGACAGCTCAGTGGGCAGTAGATGGAGGTGAGGCAGAGCATTAAGCAGAGGGAACCCCCAGATGTCAAGGGGCGAGAGGCATGAGAGACCCAGGCTTGTTCCAGGGTCCCCCAGGATGGGGAGCCCGAGTGTGAAAGGCCCCAGGTATGGGGCAGAGAGTTTGTGTTTTATGTTGAGGGCAGAGGGTAGCACTGAAGGCTTCAGTGCTGGGTGATGGGTATGTTCTAGCTTCTGTTTTGGAGGCAGATCTGCCTGGCTGACATGGGGAGGGTGAGTGAGGGGCAGGGTTTGGAGGTAGGGAGACCAGGGAGGAGGGCTGGGGCAAAGTTGGGGTGGTGGCAGGTGGGAAAGGTGAGGAAGGCTCCAGGGGGAGTTATGAGGCTGAACTGACAGGACTGGGCCACTTGGGGGTTTGGTTTTGGGTCAAGGTGGCCTGAAGGAGGTACCTGTGAAACAGGCCCAGAGATTTTTTTATTTTAATGGAAAGCAGACCCTTATGTTACCCTGCTCAGGACCTTCCAGTTTTTTCTCACTAGAATACAGTCCAGACTCCTCCCCGTGGCCCACAGCACCCTGTGGTGTCTGGCCTTGCTGCCCTTCAGTTTGTCCCTTGCACCGCCAAACATGATCTTACCTCTGGGCCTTTGCCAGTACTTCCGCCTAGAATTCTCTTCTCTTCAATGCACCTTTTCATCATTCAAACCTCAGCTAAAATGTCACCATGCTCCCTAACTGAAACATGCCCCCACTACCCTATTAACTCCCCATTTCATCACCCTGTTTGATTTTCTTTAAAGGCTCTGTTGGTATCTGAAATTACCTTGTTTGCTCACTGTGGATTTCCCCCACTGGAGTGTAAACTCCATGAGGGCTGAGAGCTCATGTGTCCTATTCCCTGATGTATTTCTGGTGCATGGAATGGATCCTGGGACATGGAGGCGTTTGCAGCAGGCAGGTGGACTAAGGGCTCTAGAGCCGGGGAGAGGTTTGGGTGGAGATCAGGAGATGCCAGTGTCACGATGGGGTGAAAGATGAGTGTGAGAAGAAGAAGGGTAGAAGGCTGAGGTTGGAACCTGGTGGGGGAGGGGGGTAGCCATGTGCATGGCGCAGGTGAAGCAGAGCATTGTAGGAGGGAGGCTGAGAAAGGGCAGGAGGAGGAACGGCGTTGCGTTAACCATGGAGAGGTTTGGGAAAGAGAAAGTAGTGATCATTCACCTAAAGGCCACGGGCGGGTCAAGTGGGATGAGGCAGGAGAAGTGATGTTTGGTTTCACATCCCAGATCCAGTGTGGGGGAGGGAAGGAAAAATATTTCTAGAAAAAGAGTACAGCAGTGGGAGGAGCCTGGGGTTGGAGAGGGGAAGGTGCTAAAGGTGGCAGGTCAGGGGTGGAGCTGACTGAGGCTCTGTGCTGAGGGGAAGGAGCCTGTAGAGAAAGCAGGTGGGAGAGGGAGGTCTGAAGAGGTGGGGTCATGGCCTTGGGCTTGGGCCAGAGGGGCACTCTCCCTCTGAGACTAGATGTCCTGCCCGGGTTCAGGCAGCTGCCCTTGATATCCAGGGCTCTT